AATAGTTTGTTATACCTCGACAGCTAAACGGAAAAAAAGACAGAGAATCGGTTTCTCACATTATTCGAGGCCAACAGAAAACAGTGAATTTCTTAGTTCGTCAGCTAAAGCCGTTCTGGAACATTTCTGCCAATGGCGTGCGACGGGTGTTGTGGAACACCCGGCCTGTACGCTGATTGGTCGTTTCCTTCACTCGGATGCTCTGGCGGAGGTTCTAGAATATTTAGGCCGCACATATGAGCAGGCGTCACCCGCGCTTGATCGGCGCGTATGACGCAGCTGGTTTGACCTGTTGCGGCGTCTCTTGTCACGTGATATTCTCACCTTAGACCGTGAGCGCATGGCGGTTCCAATCTCATTAGTCCCCCCCGATTTTGAAAGGTTGACCTCATACCACATCCTCCTCGGGCCCATTATGATTTGTTTTCGGCGGTTGTCTTTTCCTGCGTTTTTTGCGTATGGGCGACGGTGTTGGCTTTGAGTCTGCTTTGGGAACCTGAAGCTCGAAGGTGTCGCTTATCACATCTAGGGCTATTTGACCATCTGTAGTGAAGCTGCGCCTAAGTTAGTTTGTATGCTGTTTAATTCTTCCCGTTGCCACTTCTTCCTCAAAGACAACACTGCTCGACTTCCTAACCGTGCCCTCTATCCACTGTTTATCGCCTGAGGACGTGAGCGCATCGCGGTTCCCGTCTGCGTAACATAAGCATAGGCTATACACGCAAATCGGACAGCGTCTAGTTGCCTTAGAAATATACCACTTAAGTCAGTTCCCGTAAGTAAACGTTATACAACCATAAGAAGCAGCCTGTGACGTGCATATCTAAGAACCATGTAAGTTAACCTTCCAGGAAAGAATAAGTAGTTGAATTCAAATACAACGCAGCCAGAATCAATAAGAAATGGATTCAGTTGCAGTAGCCAATGGTCGGTTTAAAAACTACTTCAGTTTAATACGTATGCAAGGATTAAGTTCACTAAATCCTTATGGGATAAACTGATGGCCAATCATAACACTTACGGTATGTGTGTTTTTCTAACATAGCATCACGACGGAATAACAAGAAACGATCGGCCACAACAAAGTGTATTGCAAACTGCAAGTCGTTCTTGCGCAATAAGTGTGCATTTTAGAGCATTTCGTTCTATCCAATCCGTTTCAAAAAGAAAGGAATAGATGGAGTTGTCCGTTTGGATCCGAGGAATTTCATTCAGACCCTCCGACTTAACACTTATGGCTTTTTGGACACATTTTCAAATGGCGATACAAGCGGAAATGCGAATCCCAGGAAGTAACTGAGACGCACACGCGATCGCGCCTACGTTTTCTAAATAGTCGAATGTCTTACCGGAACGCTCATTCTCAATTACTTGAAATTAGGAAGTATTTTGGCAAATGTCTAATTAGTATTTGCAGTTTATCCTTAAAAGAGCCACTTGAACTCTTGCCATAAATTCTAATTTTATATTGTTTTGTAAAAAGCTCAATGTAAAACCTACGTTTATCTCGAACAAAACATACCTCAAAGTAATCGCCCACAAGAGAGTAGCAGAGTAAAGCAACTGTAACGACGCAGGCCGAACCGAGTGTGTTTGAATGGGCGAACCTCCCACGTAACTTGTTTTTCAGGACTCCCGCCTGCTACCGTCGATTCCCTGTCGCCAACCGATGAAAAGTTCCCGTCGTTTATCTGTGGATACTTTGAACATTCCTGCTATTTTTTCGTCTCCGTATCGCATCTCACCATTATTTTTGATACCGATTTTCATTTTGATTCCCCCGGTAGATTGAAATATACTTTCCTGCATTTTCACATTTTTGCCCCATTTTTCGTATATATTATTACAGTTCCCACTTATCACAACAATCGTTCGATACTCATTTCTTTTTGTATAGTAGTTACTTACTCGTTTCCATAGTTCCGTTTCAATATCTCCACTCGTTTTCTTACGATGTCAGATCAAAACTGGATGTCCGTTGATTCCGATCGTGTGGATTTTGCACGTCTACCGGATGAGATTTCTGACTCACCCTCCCTTTTTCAGAACACTCCTGTATTTCGGAACTATAGTGCAGGTTCTCTCAATGCTAATTCCTTCTCACCCAACCACACGGTGAATACTAACCATTTGTAGATCCTATACCTCAGTCGCCCAGTCTTTCTGGCAAACTAATGCCCCAGAATGGCCAGAATAGCGGTACAGCGTTGAATCTCCCGCCAACCTTCCGCTTGGACGTTATACAACTTATCACCTATCTGGACCAATCACTTTCCAAGGACGCAGTGTGCTCTCAGGCGTTTTCGAGACCCTGCGAAGAACTGCGTAAAGCATGCAAGCAGCACGCATTCGAACACGCCTTCATACTTTTCGGCGAGATCAAATGAATGTTTGTGGAAATGTGAACCTCCCTACTTTATAATCGCCGCAATCATTTGGTGATTTATTTCTTGTAATTATCAGTACACTTGAAGAAGGAGGATATACGTAATTTAGCACCGTTTATCGAGTGGAATGGGTTTGAGTCTTTGAGTACCCTGGTTGCGACTCAAGTTCGGTGCAGTGTACAGAGAAACAATATAACCTGCAACAGTTCAAAAGAACTTAAAATATGCCAATTTAAGCCTAGGTCTTTAAAATCAAGTTCAATTTATAATCGCTCTGATTCATTTTGTAACCTGAATCTTCCAATGCACCTTATAAAAGCTTTCCATTGATGGGAAAGTCACGAAATCTGCCACGGGCGGACATTCCATGTTTTGCTCAGTCTAAAGTCGCAGTTTTAATAACTGACATTGGAGGTTGGTCATGTAAGCCAGTTAAAATTCACCAAAGGCGAGAAACAGTTCAATCTCTTCAACACGCGGAAAGGTTGTATGCGCTTACTCATAACTCAAGGGAAAGTGGTTAATGTTTGTTAAATGGGTTGATAGGGCAGGAACTTTGAACTTTAGCCATGTTGGTGACTCTTCTTTGAACTCTTTCGGGAATATTTTGATCCTGAATTACCCACACCGTCTGCGCTTGTGTAGCGTATATCCTGAAACTCTTGGAAAGGAAGTTTTCGTCAAAGGCTATAATTATTTTGGTGGCATGCAGCTGTGACCTTATATTTTTGCTAATCTTGATCAGTGGACGGTCGGTTTTGAGGATTTCATCGTCAGTCCACGGAGGTAATTTTTGGTTCTCCATATCTTGTAGATCTAAACCGCCGCAAAAGTCATTACAAGTGTTGCCTGAACACTCTCCCACATTTAACCACAGAAGCCAACGAGCTGACAACTCCTCCAATCGACCAAGGCTAATCTGCTTTCTAGCTTCGTAGGCAAGTCTCCGGATTACAATCCGGATTTAGACATTGTCAGCAAACAATGCTGCTTTACCATCCACGTAAAGTAGAAAGAAATTGGCCCTAGTACTGAACACTGGGTCACCGAATTCTCGACAGCAGCTGGAATTGACTTTTCTTAGCCAATGAATACAATCTGGCTTCCATGTATTCTATCATGTCCAGCAGTCACTTAGCCATATTGTCAAATGTCTTTTGAAATTCAATGAATCCTAGTTAAACTGCGTTACTGCCTTCAAGAGCTCGGGTCCAGCTCTCGAGAGAATGCAGACAATTTGTCGTCATGAGGTTCCTTCACAGAAACTCTGCTGGCAGTTAACTAAAGTGTTTTGAAACTCCAGGAATTGCACAAGTTCGGCAACTGTACGATAATATGGAATTATGTGTTGATTTTGTAACAAATTCGTTTCAAATTCCGAACAAATTTTAATGATATCGCTTCTCAGTTTATTCGCCTGTGCTTGGTACTTATTTTAGAATTCGATTTACTTACTGATACAGTATTTTCTAATTTAAGTATACTTCTTCCTTTAGGTTACTATTTATCCACCCAATTAGCTTTTTCTGATTAACACTCGTCAGTAGGCATCGGATTTTCATCACCTGCAAAGAAGAATTTTAAAAATCTCCGAATTCTTTGTCATTACCCGTAAGCACTAAGATCACGTCGAGGTCGATTAAATCTGCTCTGAGCTGGTTAACATCATTACGTCGGAGCCTCTGGTGATGCTCCACCTGGGGTGGGGTATGACTGGGTGAAGACGGCTAATAGGTCGGAAATGGCCATTCCAATCTCGCTTGTCTTGGCCAGCAATACTATCTGTCGAGGAAACTACAATTTTGGTTTAGATTAGGCAAAACGAAGAACAACGAATTATCACTTTCAAACCTCAAATAGTCACGTCGGCCGAGCTAGGACATGGAGGTGACTTGATCGATGCTGTCTGACACTTTCATAATGTCACATTTCACGCAGTTAGCCAGTTGCACTATACACATTCCAGGAAATCCGGGTGTTTTTATGTACGGACATGCAGTCCAGAGATTAACTTCAATTATATGTGGTAGTATAAAATATAGTCGAGTGGAAGATTTACGGAAACAGTTTAACTCCGCCGAGTTGTGGTTTGATAGACACAAATTGAAATCCTGAAGTAAATGTACTAGATAATCGGAGATAATACTGTAGTAAGAATTCTTGGTTGGCGAAAAATAAGCAATTCAACTGCCGTTTGAACATACTCATGGTATCCGACATCAATATTTTGCTTTGGGATGTGTTCCACGGTCGACCCTATCCCCCGCTCATTGAATCAGGAAAAAACATTCTTTGATCTAGGCGCGGGCGTTCACGTTCGACCATGTTTTGATGACCACACAGGTGACTTGTGTTAGCAAACTCGAAGCATTCTTCAGATTTATGCGTCCAATCATGTTCCTGAATAATTTGGAATTTTTTACAGAACGTTGAATCTAAGTTAGTTCATTATATTTAGGTTAGTAGGCAATGCCTTTGAAGACCCTATTGAAAACGCCATGCAAATATAGCCAACATAAAATACATACAATTAATATTTTACCATAAAATAGTGAGTAGCGTATACAAACGTGAACGTTTTTAGCAGTGACATTTACGCATAGTCGTCCTGAGGATCGTATATAAAATTGTCGAACAGCAGATAGATATTGCATCTGTATGTGTACTCGAAGCATTGGTATGTTCTAACAGTGTTTTCCTGCTCATATGAACGGTATCTGTTAAGTAAATATGCATCGAGATTGCGTTTAAATGTATCTGTCGTGTTCACCACTATGACCACCTCAGGCAGTCCGTTGATGTGGCGAATGCGATGAAGTCATCAAACTTAAGGGCACAGTCCCCATTTCTCACGATCCAGTATGTCTGTATGAAATCACCTTTGATCTGCCTGTACTCAAGAGGAAAAAGTGTAAAGGCCTTAACTCTGCATTCGAAAAATAGGGAATTTAGGCCCTTCGTGATTTTTGTTGCCCTTCTTTGGACCCTTTCCAGTACTTTGAAGTCTTTTCCAACCACGGAAGCCACGCCTGGACCCCATATTCCCAATGGGAACGAATAAATGTCCCGTATAATTTCCCAATATTTCTTGATCGATATCTGCAAATGTTCGTTTAATGGCAAAGTCAACGCTCGTCGCCCTCTTGGTAGCCCTAACACATTGTGCAGAGCGCTTCAGAGATGGCGCAATTGTGATTCCCATGTCCTTTTTTCGGTTATATTCGACAGGCACCCACCATCAAGTAATTAGTCGTGAAAGTTGCCCATCGCGCCTGCCTTCTTCGTTGTGAGCCGCAGTGTGACACACGTCTCAAAGTTAAACTACATGAACCATTTTTGGACCATTTACCTAGACGGTCAAATCCCTCTTGTAATGTTTGTTCGTAATAAATATTTCTGATGGGTTGCCATTGGTTAATATCATTTCAAACACGACTCAATTGCTGTCCAGTCCATGCCTGAAGTCGTTGACGTAGATTGACACCAATAACGGCCCAAGCACGGAACCCTCAGGCACACCACAGGCAACTAGCACTGAAGTGGATTTGACGTTGCCAACGCACACGGACTGTGATTGGCCTGTTAGGAAATCTCCTATCCAATTTAGTAAATTCCCCTAAATACCGGATTCGCGAACCTTGCAGAGTAGCCGCTGATGTAAGCTACAAGCCAAGGATTTTTTGAAGCAGATGTTAACAACTTTGACGTTATTATTTTCGTCTAAAGCTCTGGACTACAGTTCCGTTGAAGAAAGCATACGAACGGGTCCAATGAAGAGAGCACGCCGACGGGATCGGCGTCGTTAAGGTTATAACGATGATATCTGACGGTTCCATTGAAGAAAGCATAACGACAGGATCAGCGTCGTTAGTGTTATAACGATGATATCTGACGTGTGTCACCGTTGAAT